AATTATAATAACACATAGTAAACGGGAAATGGTAGAAATCAATTCCCCCTGTCTTTGAAGAAGAGAATTTCATGATCTGTATTTGCGCTAAACATAGTTTTGATGCAACACATTATATTTAGAATATATCAGAAACACAGACTTTGTACTGGTGTGTTTTCCATGGTTCTCCTCAATTAATAGAAATTGTTAATACATAGCAATAATGGCTATCAATTAAAAAGTCAGTTGATGGGCATGCTTGTCTTTTGAGGAGTGCAATGCTGAGAGACAAATTGGGGGGGGGAATCAGAGTGAGGAGTATGTGTGTTAAAATGTGCACATTTTCTTTTCCAAAGAAACAGAGATTGTAAAGTGCCTCTTCTACAGAGGATCTGTGCTGCATGTAGTTCTTGTCATTAATTCTTGTCTTATCAAAAACAATAGTTTTCTTCCCTATCAATAGATATTTACAAAATAGAAACAAGGTCAAATGAGCAATGCTTACAAATGAAAAAAAAGTCACATATACAGAGTTTTCGTAACAAGACCTTAATAGATGGAATAATCAACCTTGCTTCAGAATTTAGCATTATGGCTCAGTATTTAAGCAACCATATCTGCTTGTAATTGCTGCTCCCTTACCCTCCTCCATGTATGCATGGCCTCTATTTGATGCAAGGGGGGGATGCAAATTTCCCTTACAAGTTATCAATGTGCTTCAACATATTTTGCTACCTAGAGAAAACAAATCCAACCTTGCTGTACTCCAGGGATGACCAACTACAGCCATTTGCAGGAGGGTAGTGAATCTAAAAAGAAACAATGGATTTCTCATCTAATATTACGATTATTCTGATGCACAGAAAAAAAGGAGGGGGAGGAACTTATTGATCATTTTTCAAGCCAAGCAGTGCTGATCTTGATGATTAAATATTTCCTTTTCCCCCCCAGTTATAAAAGTTCATTATTCTGCTGACTGTATATGTAGACACACACACTAGGTTTACTCTAAATCTATGTGCAGGGAATATTTTAGCTGCTGACTGCTAATGGGCAACATAAAATATGCAAGATTAAAATTCTCCAGAACTGGATCTGTTCAAATGTGGGCTTTCTCAGTTAAACAAAAAGGACCATATGTGGTCCAAGAAGAAAGGAGAGGGGCTTTGTAACATAACAGCTCTGCTCTCACCTGTCCGTCACAGCTGGGCAGGGGAACATCAGCCAATGAGAGGACGGAGGGTGGTGCAGAAGGGGGAGGAGCTGGATTATATAAGGTGTGTGTGAGATGTGTGAGGGAAGGAGGTTTTAGAGAGTTTGGGAGATGAGAGAAATTGGTTGAGAGAGTGAGATAGATTTGTGAGAGATAGTCAGTGAGGGAAAAGTCTGTCTGAGATACATTAAATGAGAAACTTGATTTACAACTTGATTTACTACCTGTGATTCACTCCTTTTTATTTTGTCAAATCAATAAACAACATTTTGTTTTAGAAGAAACACTTGTCCTTTGTGATTACTGAATAAAGTTGGTGGCAGCAGTTTGAAGTGTTGTGCATATTTTAACTTTTTTTTTTGTAGTGGTGTTGTCCAGTTTTACCTTGGGGAAGAGCACCTCATTTCGTTGCACCCACTTGTGAGTGCAATGACAATAAATTTCTTATGTCTTAAAGTTGGTGGCAGCAGTTTGAAGAAGAGTAGTGAGCACTCTGGGAGGCCTGAGTTGACAGAGGCTTCAGAGTGGCCCGCTACAGGCTTCAACCAAAAATATTCAGGCGACTACCCCCTCCTCTAGTCACAAGCCACCTGTGATCCTCTCTAGTCAGATAGCTAGCCAGCCAGCCAGCTAGATGATAGATAAACAGAGATAAATAGACACATACAATTAGCAGAAGAAGGGAAGGGTAAACCATTTCTGAGTACTCTCTACTTAGAAAACCCTGAAAAAGGTCGTGACAAGTCGGAACTAACTTGATGGCATACAGTCATTTATTATTAATGATATCCATTAACTGACAAAAACCAACAGAATATTAGCGCTTTCAGTTCTGTCATTACATCATGACAAGAGAAGTACTGTTCAACGTATCTACAAATCGGCACTGCCATTTTGGTGTTTTATTTGGAAAAAAAATTACACACGTAGGATCATTTAAAGAACTCAAAGTATTCTGGATTACAAAAAGCTTTGACTGTCACAATCCAGTATTTCATGTTTAACATCATAAGCATGCTAAAGCAATACCTCTTTCCCTTCCTTGCTGGTACCTTGTTCTAAATATAAATTATAATACTAATTTAAGCCAAAGAGATTTTTTAAAAATAAGGTATTTTGAAGTCCTATAATTCATTCACACCCAAAGCTCACTTAGCAGTAGTGGGAAAATAGGAAAGCTTCCCCGAGAGACTGGAAAAAGAGCAGGATCATCAATTAAGGATGAGAAGAAAAGTGGTCCATGTATACAGATATCAAAATTTTCAGAGTTGTAGAAACAAACAAACAAACAAAAAGGACTACAATCTGCAAGAAGGTATCTCCAAAATGTGCAAAGGGATATTAAAATGGAACATGCCATTCAGAGTAAGCAAATAGGAAGGAAGGAAGGAAGGAAGGAAGGAAGGAAGGAAGGAAGGAAGGAAGGAAGGAAGGAAGGAGATATTAAATCACAAAGAATGAGATTCGATGCTGATGGAGCAAGAATAAATTCCACCAACATAGATGGGATCAGCTGCTGCAACTGTTAAGCAGTGTTCACTGTAACACAAAGTCTTAGATAAGCAAAGCCTGACCTTCTTCTGCTATGGTCTATAGCAAGGGTCTCCAAACTACGGTCTGCTTTGCCTTTTTTTATCTGGCCTGGGCTTAGGAAGAGGAGGGAACTTATGATACCCCAGACAGACCAATAAAAATATCAACACAATGTGTGGCAGCTCTGGCAAATTCCACATGAACAATAATTAAGAATGAAATAAAAATTTGATAATATAAGAATACCTTTATATAAATATCTAGTTTGATGACATTAGAGACATAGGTAAATACAGACCCAAATCAAGACTATCTATGCATTTATGAGCTATCATTTGATTGAGCAAAGAGCCCCAGGCACTGGCGGGGGGGGGGGGAGAACAGCACCCTCCACAATCTCATGCTAAATCTGGCATTTTGCAGGGTTAAATTAAAATGGGAATTAACAACACTTAGTGAGGAAGATGCTTATCCAGTGCCAAAGGAAAACACTGTTGGGTTCACATACCTTTTGCAGGGTTAAATTAAAATAGGAATTAATAACACTTAGTGAGGAAGATGCTTATGCAGTGCCAAAGGAAAACGCTGTTGGCTTCACATACCCCACAAAGTCTAAGAACTATCCTACAGACTGCAACCACTAAGCACCTCTGAATGAGATTATCAAGCCATAGCATCCACAGACCACTTTTTTTTAGCTGCACTGCAAAATGAAGGACTTCCAGTGTATCATATTACCTGGGCTTTGCCTTATCAATTTTACCCCACTCCATTCAAAATCCTATTTAGTAATGCCAGTAAGACTCAGGGTGTATGCGTGTGGAGAGGAATGCCTGCGTGCTGGCA